CGCAGCCCAGGACTGGGCTGCGGGCTCATGGCCAGCAGGATGTGGAAATAGTTGGCCGATGCGTGCACGCATGGGGGTGCATTCCTCCCCACTTGCACTAGCGGCCCCATTTGTGCATGTATGCAGGACACGAACAGGGATGCTACGGGTGCCTGCAATGTTTGCACATGTACCACTAGCTGCCATAGGGGGGTGCTTGGCTGTTCGTGCATGTACACAATGCCAGTGCATGCACAAATGGGGCTGTTAGTGCTGCACCAGTGTGCGTGGCCCTGTGTGCGTGCGCACTACATGCTCACCAATTTTAAAGCGGCTCTCCTTCCCTCCGGTCCTCGAGCCCAGAAAGGTTGGAAACCTCTGACATAAATAGACAAAGCGGCCTTATATTGAAGCAGGAACACTGCTATAATCTAAGAGAAATCAGATCTCTAATCAATCTGTGTGGTTTTTTTCTACTGAAATACATTTTTAAATTTGTGTATACAAATAATATATACTATACAACAGAGGCCTTTTCTTAATCCCAAAATGTAATTACATAACCTTTCTGCCATTAGAGGTGACTGCTATGTAAATGGCATTTCATGTTGCTCCAAGCAGGGTGTTATTCCCCATATCGACTGGCTATTTTCTTTGGTCAGTATTTTCCATATTATTAGAAATAGAGAGAGACTAACTAATGGGACAACTATCACAATAAGCATCACTGAAACATAGTCTAAACAAAGATAATCAAATATATAGCAACACAAGGCACTGGTACTGTAGCATAGCCTATGGCTTCAACATCTTAAAGTCAACTGCTCCTTTCTGTTTACAATAGTTTGAAATAATATATCCTATAGGTCAGAGGTCCCCCACCTTTTGGGCATCAGGGACTAGTTCCACAGAGAAAGGTTTTTCCATGGACCGGAGTGTGTGTGGTTTTGTGTGCTGCCTGCATCCAACGGATGGAGCTTTGCTTGTTTGTGCGGACCAGTTGCTGACATGCTGTAGCTCAGTACCAGTCCACGGACAGGGGGTTGGAGACCCCTGCAACAGGTTAATCTGTACAATGCAAATAATAGGAAGATCCCAGGCGCAAGAGCAGGGGATTAATGGAAATGAACTGATTTTATAAAGTGCATAATAAGTGATATGTCAATTGCAATGCATCTCTGTCTATGCTAATTATTATGGGATCAGGAAGCAATTACAATTAATGTCAGAATAACAGTTTGCTTATCAAATATCAATAGTTTCTCAGAAGGTCTGCCAACTGAACAAATCCATTTATATTCCATATAAAATTAAAGCATTTTGTTTTGAGCCAAAAAAACCCAGAAAAATTAATGTATTTTCACTTGCCCCCAAACATGATTCAACTGTAAATTATAATTGTTCTAAAAAGAGAAGCAATTGTATTTAGAAGCCAATGATCACAATTATTTTATACCTTAGTTCTGATCTCCAATTGGCTCCAGTTTACTTCTGTTTCCTTTCCAAGATTAAAAACATAACTAAAAGCTTTTAATTAATTTTAAAAATCAAAACTTTAAAATAAAATTATTTAAAATAAAAGCATTGTAAAAATCAAAATGCCAGTCCAAATACATATTGCTAATGAGCAAGAAATCAGAGTTACCATCCATTTTTCCTGTTCAGATGAAACAAAGGCTAAATTTTTTCTTAATGCTCCATTTATAGGGGATATGATTTACTTATTTTTAAAATCTGCATACCGCTGAATCTTTACAACTCATCAAAAGACAAAATATAATAAGAACTATTATAATACTTAATTTAAAAGAAGACATCCAAGCAGTGTCAATCTTAAATATTCCCTGAAAACAGGAAAATAGGGTCTTCAAAATCTTCTGCAAGGTCAACATGAGGCGTCAACCTAGTTATTAGAGAAAGGATATTTCATAATATAGACTCAATGGAAAAAATGAGCCTTGTAGCTCATTTTTTCCACTTCATCTCAAAGATAGAAATAAATAAAATTGGACATGCCTATTCTGTTCACCTTTTCTTTTCTGAAGTTCAAAAACGGAATGAAGAAATTATGGTAAATCATCACCTTACTGCAAAAACCTGATGTAGCTTCCCCATCCTCTTTGTTTTTCAGGGCAAAAGGCAGGAGTAGTAGTAGAAAGAAAATGGATTTAAAATACTGTATAATAGTACTACTGAGTGTGTTGACCAGTAAACTTTCCGGACTGGCATTTTGAAATGATGGCAATGTTGCATTTTGTTAAGTCATGTTGAGTTTTTTTCAGGAGACAAGATGGACTAAAATATAACATATTTTACAAACACATTTAGGCAACATTGATGATGATGATGATGATAGAATGCGTTTTGACACAATACAAAGGCTACCTGTGCTTCTGGCATAAACTTTCTGGAAGGAAATGAGAAGACACAACAGTTGCAAACAATCACATCAGTGACTTAGTTTACTGGGGGGGGGGGGAAAGCAATAACAGGATTTTCCTCCCCTAAGTTATCAAACAACTTGGCAGTCTCAAATTTAGATTAAAAACTTTTCAATTAATCTGAAGCAATTTGGGAAGAACTACAAAGATCACTTTGGAAAAACTATGCAGTGATTGTTATATAAAAAAAGTGAAAATACAGGCTTTAAGCCCAAGAAACAAGGAAAACATTAAAAGAAATTCAGACAGGCTTTGGCCTAACTCACTGGGATACAAGAGGAAAAAAGGGAAAATGCAGCTGACCTTTCAAGATTCTGTTTACCTTAGTTTATATCACTAGAGTTCCAGTCAAACTTGTAGAATTAGTTTCCTGGTTTGGTTTACATCAAAAACTGACACAACAGGACTAAGACCAAAAGGATCATCTCATTGTGCCTAAAGAAATGTGGTATAACTGGTTTATGGTACAAGCTTAAATTGCACAACTTTAGCACTACGATTTGTGAAAACTTTGGTGCACTTTCATAATCTGTCTGTTGCAATATCAGAGAACAGAGTACTTTTACTGGATATAAGAAAATACAAAAAAATTTTTTTTTTTGATAGCAGGATAAGTTCCTTAAAGGATGTTTCCTCAGTAATGTGATTTTCTATGAGCACTGTCATTGCAAAGATCAAGAGAAGGACTAGCAATAAAAAAAAATGCAGTCAGTTGGAGCTTTGTGTAGTTCAGCAATGGAGAAAAAGGCCTGCTTCACTTCTTCTCAATGGGATATGAAACTGTAGCCTAAAATATCTGGAGATCAACCAATTAGGCAAGATTCACCTAAATTGTGACTCTGTATGTAGAATGAAGGGGTTCCATTAGAACTCAATGATCTTGATCCAGACAATAAAAGGAAGAAGAAGAAGAAGAAGAAGAGGAGGAGGAGGAGGCGGAGGGGAGGGGGGAAGGGGAAGGGGAGGGGGAAGGGGGAGGGGAGGGGGAGGGGAGGAGAGGAGGAGGAAGAAGAGGAGAAGAAGAAGAAGAAGAAGAAGGAGGAGGAGGTGGAGGAGGAGGAGGAGGAGGAAGAAGAAGAAGAGGAAGAAGAGGAAGAGGAAGGAAGAGGAGAAGGAGGAGGAGGAGGAGGAGAAGAAGAAGGAGGAGGAGGAGGAGGAGGAGAGGAAGAAGAAGAAGCAGCAACAAGGAACAAGCAACAAGCAACAGCAGCTAGTTTGGAAGAAATGATTCAAGTTCACTGAAATCCAATGAGCCATGCTAAATTAATGAAAAGGGTCTACAATTTGTAAAACTGCTAGGTTCAGGCTTTTTCTATAAAAGAATAATCCTCCCTCTTTGCAAATGAACATTGTTGTCATCACTTTTTTTTTTTTTACCCTGGTAACACCATTTGAAACGTTGACCCATATCTACTATGTAACCTCTTACTTAGAGGTACTTCAGATTCCAGAATCTCAAAGCTCATCCATGATTTGGGAGCAAAAGTGTCCAGGGGATGAAGAGGGTACCATGCTTGGTAGAATAGAGTTATCTTGTCATCTCTCAAACAGAACAATCTAGTAAAACCCACATTGATACAAAAGTGGTGTTGGGTTTATGCACATGACCGTAATTTTTGCAGTGACAATATACCAAGTATGGTTTCCTCTTCCCCTGGACACTTTTGCTCCCAAATCATGGATGAGTTTTGAGATTCTGAAATCTGAAGTACGTATAAGTAAGAGGTTACATGGTAGGTATAGGTCAGAGTTTCAAGTGGTGTGTCCAGGGGGTTGAAGAGGATATCATACTGCAAAAATTGTGGCCATGTGCATAAACCCAACATAACACCACTTTGGTATCAATGTGGGTTTTTACTAAACTGTTCTGCTTGGCTTGAGAGATGACAAGATAACTCTATGAGAAATAAGTAAATATTCCAGCTAATTATGCCCAAGCACTGTGTCTTATTCACCTCAAAAGATGATGGACCTAGTATGTGTAAAAATATACATTAAAGCAATTTAAGCATCCAATGTGTAGCTATTGTACCATATGGCAATCTCAAAATCAGATATTTCTCAGCTATTAAATTTCCTAATAAAAGATCTGAAACAATCCTCACTTTTTCAATACATTCAAAATCTCTTAGAGCAGTCTTTTAATTTTGCCATAAATCTTTCCCCTGGCCACAAACATTTCTTTGCTACTTTCTCCTTTACTGAAATTTAAAGCAACGTCTTACATTAAGTAATTCAGGAATAGACAATCACAGCAATATAGAGGAGAAATAAAAAAATGTTAATGTAACAGAGGTCCCTATTACATGAAACTTATTTTATTCAAATGTTTGCGGTATCATTGATTATGGATGCACTATTTCTTAAATGCTGGCAAACCCATGATTTGCAACAAAAATGCATCTTGCTAGGGCATCTCTCGTGGTTTTAATTTAAATAATATCTTTCTTCAAATGCATATAATGCAAGTCTCCAAGCATAACTTGTTTTTATTTGCTCTGATTATTGGGAAAACAAAATAATTTCAACAGTTCTTTCCAACACAATGTTCCACAATTATTTAAAATAGGCTAAACTCACCAACAAGCTTCAGTTATAAAATCCATACAATATTTGGAGATCATCTCACTAAGGAAAATAGAGATAAAATGGTAGGATTTCTAGATAATATATCTCTATTTCCATTAATAAAGATCCATTTTTAACAAAAATGTCATTCCGCTTACCAAAAAATGTAGTCCTTTTCCACCGAAAGCTACTGAACTGTATCCAGAAGAAAGCTGCAAATAAAACTTCCTGTAAGTCTATTCAAATAATGGTTTAAATCATATTTCAGTTTCGTTTCCTGTGAGCCTATTTGGGTAACAGCCAATTCTGAAGGCAGTTTTCATGAACAAAAGAACAACTTTCCCAAGAGCTTCTCTAAGTCCAGACCTAGGTTTATATGGGTACTAGTGTATTTTAACTATAAAATAATATTGGCTGAAAAGCAGAATATAAAACAGGGCTACTAGCCTTCAAAACTCTGGACTGCATCAATTAAGAGTCTTCTTTATTTAATGCCATTTAACTGTTTCATGCATTTTTACAGTCCAGTCAGGTAATCTTAGAATAGAGAAGTCAATAAAAAAATAAAATAGGAAGAGGTTTTGGATACTCTAGTCCAGGGGTAGGCAATCTTGACTCTTTTATGACTCGTGGACTTCAACTCCCAGAATTCCTGACTCAGGCATTCTGGGAGTTGAAGTCCACGAGTCATAAAAGAGCCAAGGTTGCCTAGCCCTGCTCTAGTCAACTGACTTCCAACAGTTAGCAGAGGAACAGATCACTTATTGGACAAAACATGTGTGGCTGTCACCTATTTCCATATATATTAGTTATAACATCAAGTCTGTCTTGTCAAATGTTGCTTTTTTTGCTATTATACTTCTTGAGATAAAAAAAATCCACCAACTAAAGCAGGCATGTCAAACTCGTAACATCACGTGACATATCGAGACTTTTTTTCCATTGCCATCATCCGGCCTGTGGGCCGGCAGTTTGACATGCCTGAACTAAAGGATATGTATCAGCAAAATCTGACACACATGAGATATATTAAAGTATAAGAATTTTTATTGATTGAAAATAAGCTATATCTCACTCTCAGGAAAGTCTATTTACTCATTTATCTTTACATTTCAAATAATGGTAGACCCTGGAGTAAACACCAGAACTGCTTTCAAAACATAAAGCATTTGTCTAAACTCTAAACTCATCAATTAAAGCAAGCAATCATGAATTAAAATCCTTAAATTGACTAAGATTAATTAACTGAACAAAGTTTCTTTCAGGTTTAATGAAAAGGCTAAGAAAGCACAGCAATGGTTACTGCTTATTCAAGCAAATAACTTGATTAATTTCTTTTATTGCTTTAACTGTGGTCCCATAGACAATTTGTGGCTCAAACAGTTATAATTCACTGAATTAGCTGATTTGAGCAAATCAGGAGAAAGAAGTTGTCAATGTAAAATGCTTTAAATAATAGCTTTCTTAAGAGGTTTGAAGGAAGTTAGCTCAAAGAAGGAAATATTAAAAAGGCAGAAAAATATATTTTTCCTCAAAAGGACTTTTTAAAACCAAACCTGGCCCCAAATCTATCTCTCTGCCCCAAGCAAGACTTTAGGCCCATACAAATGCAAATGTAAAACCATCAGAAAGTTGAAGCCAGAGCAATCAAGAAGACAAAAGAGAAGATCTGCATACCCCACCCAAACTCTAGGAGTCAGCCCCATCACCTGGGAAGCAGGATATGATAATAGAATTAAACCACAGATATCAAGGCCTAGACAAACACTCAGAAACAGCCTCAAGGTTCATGCCACAGGAACAGGAAACTATTCCAAACAAAAGGCTAGGGGGGGTATAAAACCTACTGCCCATGTGCTCAATCTCGCTCTGTTCTCTCTCCTCTGCACTTTCCTGAAGAACCATCTTTCTGCAATAAACTGTAACCTTCTTCCCAAAGCAGTCACCATGTTTGCTTATTTATTCCCGGCTTGGATGAACCAGGATGAAGACTTTACTTCTAACAATTTGGTGATCCAGATGGGACTCCAAGCTAACCTCTCCAATGGACTGAGACTGGTAAGCCCCATCTTGCTGGCAGCAGACCTCCTTGTGTCTGTGGATGGGTTTCCCAGGCCTTGCCCATGTGGAGCTAGGGTAGTAAAGGGAGTTTTGAGATTTTGAGTTCAAGGGCTGCTTTGGGAAGAAGATGAAGGTGAGTACCTCTAAATTTTAAGTTTAAAGCCCAGGAGAACAAAGAAAACGTGAAACGTGTGTATTTCTGTTTGTGTGAGGGAGAAGATCTTTTTTTTCCCAATCACAGTTGGATTTTGCTGCTTCTGGTCTTTCCTAGCTGCAGAAAGGATCTGTTTAATTGGCAGAACCTGGAAAGCATGGGGGTTGGCCAGAGCACAGAACCTTTTGTTAGGGAAAAGGGAGAGACTGTGTGAATGAAATGGAATGAGTGAATGAAAGAATTGGATTTGGGCAACCAGCTGGTAAGGCCCTGTAAGCAAAGCAAAGTTAGAAAATTAAGCCTCAAGAAGGGAGCGACCACCTACCTCCGAGAGCAAGTGGAGGTGCCCACGGACATTAGAGGTGTCCGTAAACGGTGGGGTAAAGCCGGCCGGTCAAAGAGTAGCCCGTACCTTCTGAGGGAAACTGGAAGGTCTCTGCAGACCCCTTTTTGGTCTGAAAACGTGGAGGATCCCTTGGAGGAGCCCACGAACTCTGAGAGGGATCCAGAGAAGCTCCATGAGTCCCCTTTTTTCGGACTCACAAAATCGTGATAGTAGGAAGAAGTCTCACAAGGAGACTTCTGACGGATCGTGCCCTTTGGTGGTAGGGAAATCCCATTATAGAAACATGGGAAGTTCTAATTCAAGGGCGGAAGTAGGTTTCCCGGTTGAGAGCTTGCTCGTGGCCTGGGACAGGAACCAGTTACCTGTCCAGGCCGGAATGGAAAAGAGGTAGGTAAAGAAACTATATGGGGGGAAAAGAAAAAAAAATACAGACTTTGCTTAGGGCCTTGCTGGGAAACCAATTTGGCTAAATAAAGGTACTTAAAAGGGAAAATAAGAAATAGTGATTCTTTCTCTCTCTCTCTCTCTCTTCTCTATGCAACCACATGGTATGTTTAAAATGTGTGCCTTCCCTAACTTGAGTTATCTGAAATTTATGGTGGGAATGACTAGGATGTGTAAAACTAAGATTTCTGTTCTCTTGTCTTTGTGTATATATGTTTGTCAAAGTCTGTGCGTGAGAGGTAAATGTGACTGTTAACTGTTTCAAATCCAAAGGAAAAAGAATTTTAAATTCTGCTAGAAATTCTGCTTAAAATAAGCCACAAAAAGGAAATACCTCACTCTGTTTGTCTGGCCAACAAACAGAGTGAAGAAAAAAAAAGTGTTTGTTTGTTTGTTTTCCTCTTTCTCTCTGTGTACGCTCAAGAATAGCCTTAAGTTACCAGGAGGGATTGTTTTAAGTTTATCTGTTGGAAAAGTTTCACTTGCATTTACTGTATGTGTTTTATCTATCTTTTTCCTGAAAAATGTGTGTCTATCTACAAGAGCCTTTTGAAGCTCAAGTCTGCTTGTGTGGGGAAATAATTTTCCTAAGTTACTTTTCATATCCTATCATTTATTGTTGAAGCTACTATGAAACTTTTCTTATCCCAAATATAAAAGCATTTCTCGATCTCTAAAATGATGAGGTCTATTTTAGAATAAATGTTCTCCTACCCTTGGCAAGTTGCACATATTAAAATATTAGGCTTTTAAAATTATTTGGAGTTTTCAGCATTCTCAAGCTGCCTAGCATTTTTTTTTCCTTCCAAGTTGCAAGTTCTTGTCCTTAATATGTTGCAAATGGTCAAGTTCAAAGGTGAAACATTTCATTTTGTTGTTCCCCATTTGTCTATGTTTAATAACTGCAGTATTAATGCCCTTTTCAAACTGCCTGCAAGCTACCCCCCCCTCCAATTCTTTTCCTGTCCTTTGTTCTCCATACCTTTTGTCTGCCTCTCCTGGTAGAGTCCACCCAGAAAGGGGGGGGAGACCTTGTTCTTGTATCTTTCAGCCCTGCAATCCTCTCCCAAACCTTTGGAAGCAGAACACACAGACCCAGATGCTGCCTCCATCCATTTGAACCATGGAATTGGGTTTTGGATCCAGCCATCCACTAAAAAGCCACCATGCAATCTGAGTGGAAAATCTTCCCAAGTCCTACCATTCCCCAGATGCCTGTGAGAGCTGCAGAAGGAAGGATTCCTGGTGCCATGTGAAGCCTCAGAAGAGAAAATTAGACTGTGGGGGGAGGGTGGAAACTCATTGTAAACTTTTCTTTCTTGCCCCATTTGTATTGTAACAAGCCAGTTGAATGTATTAATGGAGAGATGGCATTTAGGAATAGGTGGCAGAACAAGTACTGAACACCTTGGATTTATCCAGAATGTTTGTATTGACTATTTTGTAAAAATCCACACACACGCACCATTCAGAATCATACTTGAGTCTATCCCCTCCACCTACCTTTAGTAAAGTTCCCCAGGCTGATTTTTGCTCTATTGCACCAAAGCTTTGTGGGACCAACTTCCAACAGATTCCAAGGGGGAGGGAACTAGGCCCCCTCAGGTGATTTGCAATTCATATGCCCTGACTAAGGAAGCAACAGGAAAAATCCCAAACTTCAGCCCTGAATATCTTGCACTGTTGGGCTCAGATTGGGATCCCTAGAGCTCATTATGTGCAATTTAAAGAAAATTTAATAGCCTGGCATATTGGACATTACAAACCTGGATGCACTGAATTAAGAGCTAAGGCAGGAAACAACCCTTGAAATTGGGCAGCCAGTGGTCATGTACTAAGGAAAACCATGGCTGTGAAGAATTTTGGGGGGTATGCAAACCTGACTGGAAGCTAAAGGTGATATCCAACATTTGAAAATGATTGGCACAGAATATTGGACACTATAACTTTCTTTTCCATCTAACAAAATTTTGCCCTGACTTTTAGAACTTTATGGATGCAAGCTCCCCTTTTGGGAGCCACTAAAGGGATCTTTTTCTGCTGCCTCCATTAATG